CATAAAACCAGTCCATGAGGTAAGCCATAGAAACGGGGGTAGTAACTCAGCACATACGAATTTCCGCGCGAAAGATAATCAGAGCAGCAACCCGCAAAACCCACCATCTTCAAATTCGACAAACGTTCACCTCGTAAATGAAAGTCATACAACGGATCAAGATACTACCATTTTGTATTCACAATCGACAGAATCGCGATCAAATGTACTTTTGAAAACCGCCGTAGCACAAGTAGGGTCGAATCAGCTCTACACCGAGACAAACATTCTTTTTGACGAAGGAGCGCAAAGATCGTTTTTAACGCAGAACTTAGCGAATAAACTCAACTTACAGATAGAGGGAACAGAGATAATACATTTATCGGCATTTGGAGGTGAAGAGAAAAACGCGAGACACCTAGAAAAGACAACAATCTATCTGAAAACCGATGCAGGACACGTATTGCCAATCAAAGTACTGATAGTACCGATGATAGCCATGCCTCTACAGAATCACATACGTAATATTGATACACAAAATGGTTATTTGCGTGGTTTAAAGTTAGCGCACACGATGACACAGCAAGATTCATTCGATATATCGTTGTTAGTAGGCGCAGATCACTATTGGGACATTGTAGAAGACCATATTGTACGGGGAAACGGTCCGACCGCCGTGAAATCCAAGATCGGATATTTGCTTTCGGGACCTACATACGGTAAGAAAACTAACACGTCGAAAACTAGCATGTTTAATGTTCTAATATCACACAAAGTTGAAGAATACAATCTAGAGAGATTTTGGAATTTAGAATCAATAGGCATAAATAGTAAGGAGGTAGACGAAGACGGTGATGCATATATTAAAGCCTATCAGGACAGATCAATTGAGTTCCGAGAAAATAAATATTTCGCTAGGTTACCATGGAAACAGGATCATGATGAATTGCCTACAAATTTAGCAGTCACGAAGAGAAGGACAGAAAACGTCATTAAAAGACTTACTCAAAACCCAGATATGTTAAAGAAGTACGGGAACATCATACAAGAACAGGAACGTAGGGGATTCATAGAGAAGGTGGATGAAACAGCAGAAACTTCAGAAAAACTACACTACATTCCTCATCATCCAGTACAGAAGGAATCAAGCACTACGCCTATCAGAATTGTTTACGACTGCAGTTGTCGCCAGTCGCCTAATTCGCAAAGCTTGAATGACTGCCTCTTGGATACACCGCCGAAGCTAAACGACCTGACAAAAATTCTGATGAGATTTAGAGCCAACCCTGTCGCCATAACAACGGATATTGAGAAAGCCTTTTTACATGTAGGATTAAACGAGGATGACCGAGACGCTACGCGTTTCTTGTGGCTAAGTAACCCATCCGACCCAACAAGTTATTTACAGACTTACAGGTTCAAATCCGTCCTTTTTGGAGCGACTTGTTCACCGTTTATACTAAACGCCACAATACTGAAACATTTACAACGTTACAACAGTAAAACAGCTACATTGGTGGAAAGAGACTTGTACGTGGACAACATTCTGACAAGTTTACAGAACGAGGATGAGGCTGATACGTATTATAAAGAAGCGAGAACAATGATGAAAGACGCCGGATTCAACCTACGATCGTGGACGTCAAACAGTGAGAATATACGCAAGCTAGCCAAGACGGAAAATGTACTAGATATGGACAAAAACACAAAAGTACTTGGTATGTTATGGAATAGCAAATCCGATGATCTGATGTACCAGAAATGTGATATTCCAATACGAGATATTGAAACAAAAAGGGAGATTTTGAAACATTCGTCGAAAATATACGATCCACTTGGAATACTCAGCCCGGTAACAATAAGAGCAAAGACACTAATACAGGATCTATGGAAAAGTAGACTGGATTGGGATGAACAAGTTCCGGAAAACTTTAAGGCTACTTGGATTAATGTAGCAAGCGACTTAGAGAAAGCGACACAAATCGTCTTTCCGAGATATTATTTCTCCGGTAATTCTACTTCGGAACAACTTGAACTACACGTATTTTGCGATGCCAGTCCAAAGGCGTATGGAGCGACCGCATATCTGAACAACGGAACCGAAACTGCGTTACTGATGGCAAAAAGCAGAGTAGCGCCAGTGAAAAACCTAACATTACCGCAACTAGAACTTATGGCCGCAGTTATTGGAACTAGACTAGCGTCACATGTACAATCGACTTTCGAATGTAAAAACGTGGTTTTCTGGTCGGATAGCTTCATAGTATTGCACTGGTTAAAATCAGTGAAACCGTTAAAACGATTTATTGCGAATCGAGTGAGAGAAATAACGGAATCTACAAATCAACATGAATGGAGATATTGTCCAACAGAATGCAATCCAGCCGATCTCTTAACACGAGGAATTAACGCCGATCAATACATCGATAGTGTCATTTGGAAAAAAGGACCAAATTGGTTAACGGATCGCACAAAATGGCCAGAAATAACTCCCACAAGTAAAATGGTAATGACAATTACAGGAGAAAACGACGAAGAGGAATTTCTAAACAATGAAGTTCATACTGATCACTATGGTATTAGTAACGTTATAGACATTTCGAAATATGGGACTTTCAGGAAATTGATTCGAGTAACTGCTTACGTTCAGCGGTTCATATCTAACTGCCTATATACCAAACATCGGAGAAAAGGTGGAATTTTGACGACATATGATATAAATACCGCGGTGCGTTCATGGATATTAGATTGCCAAGAATCTTCATATTCAGCCGAAATAAAAAGTTTAAAGGACACACGAAATAAAAACACAATGAAATTTCCAAGAATAAGACAATTAGGACTCTTCATAGATGACGATGGTCTTGTGAGATGCAATGGAAGAATTCACAATGCACCGATTTCAGAGAATACCAAATTTCCGTACCTTATACCTGCGAATCATCCACTTACCAAACTGATTGTGATAGACGCACACGAACGTTCACTCCATTCTGGACTTAATGCTACGCTGACTTTTGTACGACAATCGTATTGGGTACCGACACTTCGACAATTTATTAAGAAGTTATTGAATAAGTGTGTAACTTGCCGCAAAGTTATGGGAAAATCTTACAGCAAACCGGATCCGCCACCGCTTCCGAAAATAAGAGTACAGGAAGCCTCGCCATTTACCGTCACAGGGGTCGATTATACAGGCGCTTTATACGTAAGGGATCAAGAAGGAACTTTAAAGAAAGCGTATATATGCTTATTTACGTGCGCATCGACTAGAGCAGTTCATCTCGAAGTAGTTCCAAACATGAGCGAACATTCATTTATTCAGGCATTTCGACGCTTTGTTAGCCGTAAATCTCTGCCTAAAATTCTAGTATCTGACAATGCATCTACATTCATTGCAGGATCTGAGGAAATAAAAAGATTATGTGAATCGGATATAGTAAAAGATACTTTATCAACACACGGTGTAGAGTGGAGATTCATACCGAAACGTGCACCATGGTATGGTGGATTCTGGGAGCGCTTGATTGCTCTTACGAAGACAAGTTTGAAAAAAGTGCTTGGACGATCGCAAGTTAACATGGAAACATTACAAACAATTGTTGCGGAAATAGAAACTATCTTAAACGACAGACCGCTTACTTATCCATCGTCCGATATCAAAGACTGTGAAGCTTTAACACCGTCTCATCTACTATACGGAAGGCGCATTTCAACATTACCGTACCCACAACCAGAAATCGATAACATCACCGACCCGACTTACATGGGACATTACGATCTTAATAAAAGTGTACAAAGACAAACGCAATTGATTCAACATTTCTGGAAAAGATGGAAATCCGAATACCTTACGTCGTTACGTGAATTTCATAGGACTACCGGAAAAAATGAACAATTAATAAATACAGGAGACATCGTGCAAATTCACACCGAATCTCCGCGTATAAACTGGAAAATTGGGATCGTAACCGAACTGGCGAGAGGTAACGACGGACTTATAAGATCTGCACGAATAAGGACCAACAATGGGGAAACAACTAGACCGATCGCAAAACTATATCCATTAGAAGTTACACAAACGATGACAAACAATTCTAACGTTCCAATAGATGATCAGCAGGAAAATATGGAGAACAGACCGAGACGAAAAGCAAGTCTTAAAGCCCGTGAGACCATACGGAAGTGGATACACCAATGATGTGAAAGACGACCATTAGTGATGTAATTGATAGACAATTACGCGTTTTAGTGCAAAGTTGAATTTTATTCTTATTTCATGAGTGACATTAATTGAATTTAATTGCTAAATGTAATTTCCGTTTTAAATGATTTCATGTACTCAGTATTTCAAAGAAAAACACAACGCGAGAGACAATTTCAAAGTATTATTATTTATTGATGGACAGTAATTTATCAGTGAAACGATTGATCAATGGATAATTGAGATTATTTAGAAAATTGTGATATTTTTTACTTTTTGCGGCCCCAGTATGTTGAGATTGTCGCGGGAACATAACGTCCGTACTATTGTACTTGTCCATTGTCGACGTCGTATTGTCAGTGACGTCGCCTTGGGCGGAAATACGTTAGTTGTATATAAAATGTAATGGCTGAATAGTTGTCTTTATACACATTGCCTAACTATCATCTATAATAGACCATGTTATATTCCCCTTAAAACTGTTCTGACATTTGTCTCACCGGCTACAATGAGGTTAGATATAGACCATGTAATATACTTCTTAATACTGTCCTGACATATGTCTCACCGGCTACAATGAGGTCAGATATAGACCATGAATATACGTCTTAAAACTGTCCTGACATTTGTCTCACTAGCTACAATGAGGTCAGATATAGACCATGTTATATACCTCTATAGACTGTACTGACAAATTCCTCACCAGCTACAATGAGGTTTAATATAGACCATGTTATATACCTCTAAAAACTACTGACATTTGTCTCACCGGTTACAATGAGGTCAGATAAATACCATGTTATATACCTCTTGAGACTGTACTGACAGCTGTCTCACCGGCTACAATGAGGTCAGATATATACCATGTTATATACCTCTTAAGACTGTTCTGACATTTGTCTCACATGCTACAATGAGGTTAAGTATAGACCCCTTAAGACTGTACTGACATATGTCTCACTGGCTAGAATGAAGTCAGATATAGGCCATATTTTTTATACCTCTTGAGACTGTACTGACAATTGTCTCACCGGCTACAATGAGGTCAGATATAGACCATGTTATATTCCCCTTAAAACTGTCCTAACATTTGTCTCACCAACTACAATGAGGTCAGATATATACCATGTTATATACCTCTTGAGATTGTACTGACAATTGTCTCAAAGGCTACAATGAGGTCTGAGATAGACCATGTTATATTCCCCTTTAAGACTGTACTGACATATGTCTCACCGTCTACAATGAGGTCAGATACAGACCATGTTATATACCTCTATAGACTGTACTGACATTTGTCTCACCAGCTACAATGAGGTCAGATATAGACCATGTTATATACCTCTATAGACTGTACTGACAAATTCCTCACCAGCTACAATGAGGTTTAATATAGACCATGTTATATACCTTTAAAAACTGTACTGACATTTGTCTCACCGGTTACAATAAGGTCAGTTATAGACCATGTTATATACCTCTTGAGACTGTACTGACAATTGTCTCACCGGCTACAATGAGGTCAGATAAAGACCATGTAATATTCCCAATAAAACTGTCCTGACATTTGTCTCACCAGCTACAATGAGGTCGTATATAGATCATGTTATATACCTTTATAGACTGTACTGACAAATTCCTCACCAGCTTCAATAAGGTTTAATATAGACCATGTTATATACCTCTAAAAACTGCACTGACATTTGTCTCACCGGTTACAATGAGGTCAGATATAAACCATGTTATATACCTCTTGAGATTGTACTGACAGTTGTTTCACCGACTACAATGAGGTCAGATATATACCATGTTATGTACCTCTTAAAACTGTCCTGAAATATGTCTCACCGGCTACAATGAGGTTAAGTATAGACCTCTTAAGACTGTACTGACATATGTCTCACCGGCTACAATGAGGTCAGATATAGACTATGTTATATACCCCTTAAGACTGTACTGACATATGTCTCACCGGCTAGATTGATTTAAGATATAGACCATGTTATATACCTCTTGAGACTATACTGACAATTGTTTCACCGGCTACAATGAGGTCAGATATAGACCATGTTATATTCACCTTAAAACTGTCCTGACATTTGTCTCACCAGCTACAATGAGGTCAGATATAGACCATGTTATATACCTCTATAGACTGTACTGACAAATTCTTCACCAGCTACAATGAGGTTTAATATAGACCATGTTATATACCTCTAAAAACTGTACTGACATTTGTCTCACCGGTTACAATGAGGTCAGATATAAACCATGTTATATACCCCTTGAGACTGTACTGACAGTTGTTTTACCGGCTACAAAGAGGTCAGATATATACCATGTTATATACCTCTTAAGACTGTCCTGACATATGTCTCACATGCTACAATGAGGTTAAGTATAGACCTCTTAAGACTGTACTGACATATGTCTCACTGGCTACAATGAGGTCAGATATAGACTATGTTATATACCCCTTAAGACTGTACTGACATATGTCTCACCGGCTAGAATGAGGTAAGATATAGACCATGTTATATACCTCTTGAGACTGTACTGACAATTGTCTCACCGGCTGCAATGAGGTCAGATATAGACCATGTTATATTCCCCTTAAAAGTGTTCTGACATTTGTCTCACCGTCTACAATGAGGTTAGATATAGACCATGTAATATACTTCTTAATACTGTCCTGACATATGTCTCACCGGCTACAATGAGGTCAGATATAGACCATGAATATACGTCTTAAAACTGTCCTGACATTTGTCTCACCGGCTACAATGAGGTTAGATATAGACCATGTTATATAATTCTTAAGACTGTACTGACATATGTCTCACCAGCTACAATGAGGTCAGAAACAGACCTTGTTATATACTTCTGTAGAGTTAATAACAAATTTCTCATTCGCTCCACACATTATACACCATACTCCATAAACTATCCACCCTACTCTACACCACATACAGAACAAACTTTTCATCAAACTCAATAAACTATTCATAATACTCAACATCCCATACACCATACTCCATAAACTATTCATTATACTCCACACCCCATACATCATAACTTATTTATCATACTCCAAACTCCATAGACTATTCATCATACTCCACACCCCACACATCTTCAATTATTCATCATACTCCAAACTCTATAAACTATTCATCATACTCCAAACTTCATACTCCATAAACTATTCATTATACTCTACATCCCATACATCATAAACAATATATAAAACTCCACACCCCATACACCATAAACTATTCATCATAATCCACACCAAATAAACCATACTCCATAACCTTTCTATTGGTATTACTGTATACGCTATTCACTATAATCCATACACTTTACATCATAGGCCTTTCTTCATTATCCATTGAACAGGAAGCTTACTCTATACAAATACCTCTGTTCGAAAGATCACATCCAAATTTGATCGAGTAATGTAAAATGTCAGTTTAAAATTTCTGATCACTTAAAAGTTGTTTTTCTGTTTTTTCAGCTTCCTACATTCTGTTGTGATATTCGTGTCAGTTGCTTGGCACAATTCATTTGTCATGTCATAGCTTGAATTATGTGTGGCAATATAAATCATTACTATCATTTCCTTGACCAGTACATGGATAAGATATTGAGGAGCCAATCTGGAAAGAAAGTTCTTTCATTATTTTTTAACTTTTGAAGTTAAAAATTAGAGAACAAAGTTCATTACTTCCTTTTAGTTATGATAGGCATGTTGACAATCATAATAAGCTATACACAATATGGTGAAGGTATTTGTTTTAATATCCCCATTTGAAAAGCAATACAAGAAATGACTCAAATATTTTTCAATTCTGTATGAACTATATTTTTGCAAGGTATTCAGGCATGCAGGAATTGATAACACAAAATTTGTTTTAAAGTAACAAAATCCAAATGGAAGAACTATTGAATAATTTATATTTGTGAATTTAAGTAATCCTTAAAACAAACAAAAAAGTAACAAAAACTGGATTTATAAAATACTTCTATTAGGTTAGTATGTTATGTTTTACCTGTACACTTTAAATCTTTTTTCTAATTGGTCATTCGTCATCCCAAATATCATCTCAGTTCCTCGATTTGTGTATGGATGTCTACATAAAAAAAATCTGTGCTTGATTAAGATGAATTTCCTTGTAATTGCCAATTTACAAAGTAAATATTTTGTTAATTAAAAAAATATTAATTTGTTGGTAACAGGTTATCAATCTGGATTATATGAACCTGCTACATTTATCTTAAAGTTTAAACATTATTCAAATGTATCTTTGGTAGTTTTTTGAAAAACACTTCATACCTTGAAAACGTAAAATCTAAAATTTATTCAGATCAAAAGGGACAGTGAGTCAAAAGATATAAAAAATTCACTAAAGTTTCATTCAAGTTGATTTAATAGTTTTTGAGTTATTGTCTAATATGTTGATGATGGATGGATAGATGGATGGACGGACAGATATATTGACAACAGTATGCCATAATATGTCCTATAAACTAGTGCATCCTATAAACTAATGTATTTAATTAGATAAACTCGACATAGATAAAAGACAGTTACTATAAAAGAACCATCACAAACCCAAAATGTCTGTTGTGTCTACAATCTATTAGAAGTCAAAGAAATATATATATCTTGAATAGAAGTTTCTTTCGATTATTTAACTTACTTTGGATCCCGTCCTGTAATGTATAAGAGATCTGCAGACAACTTTTTATGCACAAACTCCATCGCCTAGATAATACAAACAGCATATGATTAAACATATAGGATGGGTTTAAAATTTAATTAAGCAAAGTAATAATGCAAGTGTTCTGAGTTGTATACTTGGAATGAAAAATAAGTTCATTACTATAACATTTAATACTTATTTGTTTTATGTGTAGAGCAATAAATCAAAAGTAAATATTAACCAAAAGAAAGTCAAGGAGCAAAATGAAGACTTTTCATGATGAAATTGTAAACATAAGAGTATTTAGATAAGACATTAAGTTTCTCTTGCAGTCAGTTTGTATGCCTTATTTGATCATTTTTACTCATAATGGTTCTATACATGTATATCATAACATCCTGCCATTTATATCTATTTCTGTAGTAAGTGTACAATCAAAATGTATAAAAATAATGTACAGAATACCATAGTTCATAACGTAAAATTTCACAAACCTTAAGCTTTATCACATTCATTCCAAATCCAACTGTCACTCTTTCCCTGTTGTGCACTTTCAGTGGATTTGCAATAAACTCGTGGTGTCTTACATGTCACTAAAAGAAAAGAAATAGTGCATGTATTGAAAGATATCACTACCATAAATCCCAAGACTGTTCCATGAAGCACAGCTTGCTACAAATGCAACATGTATAACCTAAAAGAAAAGGACAATTGTTTACTCTTAAAGAAAAATATTGGTATGTACGTTCTCCTGGCTGTTGACAATTGATGTTAATTTTATACATAAAGAATAATGTCATTTTTGTTTTTGATACTGACTACATCAGAAAGAATATCAATTGGGACTTCTATGTCATCTCAATAGAATTATTGAAGATCTCAAATGACGAAAACAAAACTGATAAATAAGGTTCATAAAGTAAACATATATATTGGGATATTGGAAACACAGAAGACTTGAAATAAACCTACATGTCATTTGAGAAAATGATGCCAATAATGATCTTGAAAAAGTATATATATTTTGAATACTTTTAATTGTGGTTGAAACTGAATGAAATTATGCAACAAATTCCATGGATTTTTTCATCATGCATCAACCCTGGCTAAATTGGTTTATATACATATAATTGTAGACATGAAATAAAAGTTTTAACTTACCATGTGGTTTCTTGACAGTTAACTATTTCATACAGTTTTTCTTTACAAGCCAAGTACTGAAAACAAACATTATATCCAATATGAATTATCTTTAAAAACATTCTTTAAAATACAACGAGAGCCTTCTAAGGTGCCCAAATTCCTCACCTGGTATCGAGACTGCATTTTCTTTGTTTTATAATTTTCAAAATATATGTTAAAGATGCCCTTTTAGTGACATTAAATCCAATTAAATTGCAATTGAAAGTTTTACTCTATCTCTTTTGATTAAAGACAATGATAAGCACCATGTGACGACAGTTGCTCACTTGAGCCTTAGGTCAGGTGTGCTGGAAAGTTTATTTATCATCTTTTAAAAAGCTAATGTCATATACTAGTAAACTGGGTCAATCCGTATAAAACATAGTATTATATACTATGTACCAAGGGCTGGTCAATTGATATTTTTCTTCACAAGGAACATCTGCAATATTGTCAATTGTACATAATTTGTTGACAAAAACTACATACATGAACCTGACATGACTCCACTGACATCTTTATATCATCTAGTATGTCATCTACATAGTGACCATCTAACACATCATCGTTATCATTATGTTGAGATGGACCTACTTCTTGTGTTATTGCCACCTCTTGCATGTTATCTACAGTAAAATAATACAGATACTAAACTCAAACACACAAAACATGTTATTAATCAAAGAATGATAAATCTATGTCATTAACCCACTACATTTGTTGTTTTAATTGAATTAAATTAATTTCCATATAGAGCCATGGACAGTACAAAAACTGACGTTTCAAAAGAGGTTTCCTTGAAAATGAGTTTAGAATTACTTAGCTTCAATAAACTAAAATAAGAAATTAACCTTTCAAGATTAATGCAGGTTTAAAAAATTAATCTACTGCAGACAACACTAATTCATCTGACCCTTACCACTGCATTCAACTAGGTATTGGCCTATCTCTATCCGCAAAGTCTTCAGTTGTTTCTTTGTTGAGTTGAAGCGGAAGTCCTCTACCCCTTTCAGTATCAGCTCTGCAAACTGAGAATTACTTTTTTCATATAGTGATGGTTAATGGACAATAATTTTGCCTGCTCATACTACTTTGCAATTTAAATAACATAGTCATAGCTAGTACAATCATAATGCAGAACATATAACTGAACAATACAGAATGATATGAAAAAGGATTTGACATTAAACTTTAATACATCATACCACATTTCCACAATTTGTCATATCATATATGGTAACCATGCTTTCGTAAAAGATCCTGCAAATTGTCTTTGACTGGCATTTACTTTCATACTGGTTAACATATATTTTTTTATTGATATAAACATTTTTGAAGTAAGGGCCAGATTGGGTAAAAAGGAAAAATTCGACAACACTAATTTATACCTTTAATACAAAAACTCCACAAGAGTTGGAGTCCATCTGTTTGTGGTGTCGTTTTGATGTGATGGTCCATTCTTCACTGATAGAGGTGCCGATTCCTTTGATGTATCTGTCACTCAAAAATTGTCTATATAATATGAAATAAAAATAAATAAAAAAAAAATATGCAATTTTGACTGGAATTCTTTTTATACATTTCTCAATAGAAAGGATTATGGAAATATTGTGATTATTTATAGTTTTATTTGTGATTATTTTTAATTTTTCAGTGTATATTTGATGAACAGTAATACTTACAACCACTTTTGCAAATAAATGTCTTCTATTTCTCTGCATTCACCCATAGGATTGAGGTAAATCAGTTCTAATTTGTTTGGAAAGATGACCATTAGAGACCAATGACATCCTGCCTCATGTAAAGCTCCAATTATGATGTCATATTCCTCAATGTCAATCTGCAATACACAGAAGTAATTTAAGGGAATACATTAGCTCAGGATAAAATAAGCATGTGTGGGGACAATGCTCAAAATATAACATTCCTCTTAATAATCATACATGTCTAATTAATTATTGAATGTGACTGAGGACAATTAACAGCTTCTTTCTCTAACCCAAGAACCAAACTAGGCTGTATCCTATGAAGTCGAAGTCAAAAAGTTTAAAAAATTGTTTTACCCACCAATGTAATCCTGTATTAGTTGTTTACATGGCATAGCCAGTGATGTAAGAAAATAAAACTTCCTGGCAATAGTTCCACAGAAAAATCCACAATTAGTAACCATTCATTTTATGTTTGGTTTGTGTATTGGTTGAAGAAGACAGATCAACCCAGAGAATTTGATTAGAAATTATCCATTACTAAGAATTAAAATCATTATTGGTTTACACTAAATGCAAGTATGTGGATGACTCATGCATTTGAGAAATAATTGACAATATACCACATATTGGTAATATGCTTACCCCTTGGAGAAAACAGTGCAACGGAAATGGATCATCTAGATTAAAACCACAAAATATTGATGTCATTACTTCACAAGACAGGAAATGTACAGGTCTATTCTAAAAATAGAAAATAAAAAACTATTTAAACCATAAACAAGAAAATTTATAAAACATTAACCCAAATTTTGTAGACAGGAGAAACCAAGATAAATGATTTTCTGATATCTTGATGGATTTATGAATTCTATTCTATATTTCAATTAAATCATTTTAGAATTAGGGTTTC